AAGATATTTGAGCTGTTTTTAAAAAGATGTTATACAAAATAATCACTTAAGGGCCTAGCAAGATAGCTCAGCTGACTAAGCAGCTGCTTAGGCAAGTGAGGGGACTGGGGTTTGATCCCCGGTACCACATGCTGCGCCGGTCCCGCCCCTGGGCATGCTAAGTGAGACAGGGCTGGGGAGGCTGAAAACAGGAGGATCACTACGAGTCCAAGCTGCATAGTGAGACCCTGTTCCAAATACATTTAAAAAAAATCAGTTTAGACAAAACTCAGCCATTCTCATTTGATCGTATATATGTGGCATATATATGCATCAGCTGTCTTCCTCCCGTGACCTGAGCCCACGGGGGCTGTGATCAGGTGCCTGCAGTCTCTGTGAGAGATTTTTCAGGGGAACAGGCATGTGGTGCTCTGTGCTACCTCGACTCTGCTGACCACTAGTTTCTGTCAGAGACCAGGGGAGAAGGAGGAGGATAAGGTTGTGTGTTCAGCAAGACTGGAAGGCTGAAAGCGTGTTTGTGTTTTTATTGTACAGTCAATCATTAAAAAGAAGGAAAAGTGTTTCCCCCTCATAGAAAGGGAATCTCGGGACTGGGAAGATGGCTCAGTAGAATGCGCAAGGGCCTGAGTTCAATAAAAAAAAATGTTTCTCTGGGGCTGGTGAGATGGCTCAGTGGTCTAAAGCACCTCCTTAGAACAAACTAAAAACACAGGGACCTCGGTTCAATCCCCCAGCACCACATGCCAGTCAGCGCCGCCCCCTGGTGGGATGAGCTGGCCACACACACACACACACACACACACACACACATACAAATAAAATTAAAAAAAAAAAAAAAGAAAGGGAATCTCTTCAGTTTGGGAAGCATGACTAGTAATGCACTTAATTGCTCCAGAGGCATTTAGTAATAGGAGGTATTCATGCAAAAGCCCAGGGGCCTAAGAGCTACTGAGTATTTACCCTCAAGAGTGCCCTGGCTTTAGCCCCAAATGAACGGCTGTCCCATGAATTAGATGGACAGATGTTAGAAGTGTTGACTATAATGCTGTGTTTATAAAGTAACTTTATGAATATATGACAATTGTCTGGTGCTTACAGTATGTCTTTATGGTTTTCTAGTGATTTCCTATTAAGTCATTTGGAGCGTAGACATTGCAAGTGTTGTGTGTACATGCACGTGCGTGTGTGTATGTGTGTACACATCTCTGCAGTTAATGAATACTTTTATTTCTTGTTTTTTTTTTTTTTTAAATTGAGGAATGACTTCTTTTTATTTATTTATTTATTTGTGTGTGTGTGTGTGTGTGTGTGTCCAGCGCAACCCACCAGGGGGCGGGGCTGGCTGGCATGTGGTGCTGGGGGATTGAACCGTGGTCCCTGTGCTTTGCTAAGCTTGTTCCAAGTAGGTGCTTTAGACCACTGAGCCATCTCACCAGCCCCAATACTTTTATTTCTAAAAAGAAATTTGATTTACATTGAAATTCTGTAAGTTCTTTTTTTGAGGGGTATCTTTCAGTATCTTAGCCTGGTTAGAAAAGATTTCCACAAGTCTGTACTGGTACCTGTTAGATAGCCTTTGATTTAGCAGGGCAGAGTAGATTAGAAGTTTTTCATTGATACTGGACACTGCTCCACTCTCAGCGATAACTAAGAATCACCAGAGCGTGCTGCTAACTTATTCCCATCTGTCCCAGGAGTTTCCAAACCCAAGGCACTGAAGGAAAGTGAGTGTGCGGTCTCAGTTTTGCATTTTGGTAGCATCAGTCTGATGGTGAATTTTTTATTTTTTTGTATTTTAGGGAAGGGTCTACAGGGTGCTCAGGGTCTCACTACTAGATCAGACTTATAGTGATCCGCCTGTTTACAGCCTTCCAAGAGCTGGGATTATAGGCATGTGCCATGACACCCAGTCTCAATTGCCTTCTCGGTGCACCCTAGGGGCAGGGCTGGCACGGCAGGCCCGGGGGATAGAACCCCTGGCCCCTGCGCCTGCTTGTAGACATTTTAATCCACTGAGCTATTTTCAGGATGAGTATTCATAGCACGGTTCATAAAGTTATGTAGTATTTGAAAGGTGGCATTTTGCTAAGGAAAGTCTGCAGAGAGCTGATTCCACTTGCAGTGATGGTTATTTAATAAAGTTGAGATGAGAAGGGAATTTGGAAGTACTTAGAATGCAGAGAAGGATGGTCTTAAACCAAGTCAGGCTAATATGCTTTTTCTAAAAGAAACTTCATTTACTTTGTCAAGCCAGCTGATGGAGTCATATCACTGTTCCTACTTTGCTAACTTTGGTAAGGTTTTTGATTCTTTGTAGTTTTGGGACATTTCAGAAAGTTTTTATGGTGCAATTTTTTTCCCGACAGGTGCATTCCTTGTAAAGGCTCTCGGTTCCCCCCGACCCTTCCACGCCCCGCGGTGGCTATATTGTCCTTTAAGCTTCCTTACTGTCAGATTGCGACAGAGAAGGGGCAGATGGAGGTATGTGGGAGTCTTCCAGCAGCGCACTGCATTCGCTGGCAGACACACTTTGCAATCATCACTAAGTATTTATTATTCTGTCGTTTGCTTGCAGGGACTTGGTTTAGGAGGTAAATAGTTAGGACCTCCAGGGCCTTAAGGCAAGGCCGACCTGTCCGGTGCATCCTTGTACATTGTGTGACATAAGCGTCAGGCTGGCCCTAGCCCTGTGATATAAAAGTCACTTGAAGCCAGGCAATCAGTTTACTCTGAATAAGAAACAAATCACCTTAAAATGCTAGTTACCAAGTTCTCAGAGAATTATAATAGCTAGGAAACTGTGTAGAGCACTCTGTGCGTGCTTGTGCGCTCTCTTTTCTTTCTCTCTGTCTCACACACACACCCCGCATACACACACCCCTTCTGTTTTTAAGGATAGAAGGTAGTTTCAAGCTAGAATATCACTCGAATTAGAATTGTAAATTAAACTTACAGAAAAGAGGATTTTAAAAAGCCTTCAGAAGCTGGAATGCTAAGGGCAGTGTTTGGTACTTGCCTGGTGTTGGGGGATGTTTGTCTCTGAGCGCTTTCATCTGGTCTTGTAGGAGCAGTTTTGGCGTTCAGTTATATTTCACAACCACCTGGATTACTTAGCCAAAAATGATTATGAATATGACGAGAGCACTAAAAATCAAGCAGTAAAGGAGCAACAAGAACTTTTAATGAAAATGCTTGCAGTAAGTAAAATAAATGCAGTGAAAAAATTAATAAAGTTAAATGTTTTCTTGTAGGTTAAATTTCTAAAAGATGTGAATCAGCACTGAGTTCTACCACCTGGGAGTCTATTAAGTTTTATCTCATCATATTTTTCCTTCCTAAAAGTTCAGTTTTCCACTTGTTGCCATTCAAATATTGAAAACATTACCTTGCAACTGAAGGATTTTTTTTTTTTTTTTGCTCCCAATGCCTTCAGGGCAGGTTTGGCTGGCTTGAGTTGTGGGGATGGAACCACAGCAACCTGAGCCTGACTGCTTTGTTGAAGCAGGCAGCCGCTTAAAGAACTGAGCTAAGGGGCAGGCCCCTACCTTGCAACTGAGATGCACAGAAGTAACCCCCTGGTGCTGCCACTTGTGGCTTTGGCCCCAGTGTGTCTGCCGCTGGCGGTGATGCTGGAGGATACCAGAGCCGGTGCTCAGACTCCCGCTGCTGTTACAGGCGCAGCTGGGCTGGAGTCCTTTACATCTCCAGGGTCTGGCGCTGATTCCATGACCTGCTCTTTGTTGGTTAGATCACAGTGTGTAGTAAAAATCTGTGTGCAGCCAGGGCCAGCCTCGGGGTCTTGGGTGCTGGGTTAACATGTCTCTTTGGGGCGAGGACTCGCCCAGTGCCTGTGTTGACGTCCTCACTGTGAGTCACCGCTTCTGGGTTAGGCTGTGCTGGACCATCAGCCTCTGAGGGTGCTGCCCAGGTCTTCGTTTAGCCCTGTCACTGAGAACCACATCGCTTCCTTTCTGTCCCAAATGCCTGAGTACTAGCTCCCCCTGGTGAGTGCTCAGGTGGATGGGTGCTCCTAGCCATCTCCAGAGGGACCTCTGGGCCAGTGTTGTTCTGTGGCTCGTGTGCAGACTAAGTGACAAACTGCTCTTGCTCGGAGTGACACAATCCTCAGGGTCTTCAGATACCAGGGTTCCTCGCTTTGAAATTGTATAACCTTGTTTTGAGTTGCCAAGGATTCAAGCCAAACAACATTGTTCTCTAAGGCATGTTAAATGATTGCCTTCATTTTATATTTGCATTATAAAAACAGAGCAAGCAAACAGAATTGTTCATTTGGAAGTTGGGTATCTTTTTCTGGTGGTTGAAGATCATAAACAGGCACATTTAAAAATTTAAGGACAAATCTACTTTTTCTCACCTCAGTTCACTTGGTAGTGTTTGTCTACCGGTTCTCAAGAAAGTAACTGACTTTTTTTTTTTTTACAGTTTCTTTCTTCAGATTTTCTACCCTGTTAGGGTGTGTGGCAGCTGGGAAACAAATGTAAAAGAGCCACATTTGAGCCAGGCGTGGTAGCATAGGAGGATTGCTGTGAGTTTGAGACCAGCCTGGGCTACATAGGGAGACCCTCTCTGAAAAAAAGCAAAAACAACACTTTACTTTTAAACAAGCTCCTTGCTCTCCTTGCAGTTTACATCCTGCAATGATGTACTACATAACATTGAATCTAAACAACTATTGATCTATTGATTGATCTGTTCTTTTCTTCACTTAAGTCACTGAGACAGAAAAAAATGCTGCCAAACTTACCCAGCTTTAATTGTAGGATGCTTTCCAATTGCAGAAGTGTTAATGTGTAAAGTTGTACATCTTAGAATCGATGAGACACAGTATCTAGAGCACTGTACTATCTGTGTATTTGAAAAGCCTTTACTGAACATAAAGTTTTTTTTTCCTTTTCTTTTTGGTTAGCTTTCTTGTAAACTGGAGCGAGAATTCCGTTGTGTGGAACTTGCAGATCTAATGACTCAAAATGCTGTAAATTTAGCCATTAAATATGCTTCTCGCTCTCGGAAATTAATATTGGCCCAAAAACTTAGTGAACTTGCTGTAGAGAAGGCAGCGGAATTGGCAGCCCCTGAGGCGGAGGAGGAGGAAGAAGAGGAGGATTTCAGACAAAAACTGAATGCTGGGTAAAGAAATTGAGTTGTTTGAGTGTTCCTTTAAGTTAGTGTTTCCGTAGTTCTTCATTGATTCGTGTTGTCTGTTAGTTACAGTAATACTGCTACAGAGTGGAGCCAACCACGACTAAGAAATCATGTGGAAGAAGACACTGAGGATAGAGGAGCTGAGGACACAGAGGAAAACCCTGAACTCCATCAGCACGGTGAGATGCATTTGCAGGCAGTACGAGAGAAATTCATGACTGTGGCTGTCCCTGATCTGCCTGGCTAATGGAAATCAAATCCTCCCTGTATCTTCTCAAGCCATCTTTGTTGTCTGATTCTTGAATAATAAGAATGACTTTATTTTTGTCATTTTTGTTTTTGTTAATTGTATCTAGGACAGAACTTGTTTTCCAAAAGTACAAATTCCTCTGAGGTACCAGCCGTTAAGTCAGGTGAGAAATACTTATAAATTTGTAATGTTAAGGTTTTACATGTGGTTTTAATTATCTCCTAACTACAACTTCCCTTTTGGGACTTGTTTTATTGTTTCTGTCAGAGATGTAATTTGTGAAACTGACCATTGAATCCATATTATTGAGTCCCCTGGTGTGTGCCAGGCTTTTTACTAGATAGAAGTGTTGAGCTCAACTAGACACAGATCACTGGTCCCTGGCTTACTCTTGATTTTAGTCCTGCTGTGGAGACAGATGTTGCAGACTGACGTATCACTAAGCATTCAGGGTGCTGGAGAAACAGTGAAAAGGAGTCAAAAATAGTTGTTTTGGGGAAGTAAGACTGGGGACAGGAGTGGTTGGAGTAGGGGACTGATGCAATTTTTGCTTTGTTCTGTTTTTAACGTAATCCTTATGGTGCCATTTGACTTAAAACTGTGTACGTGTGTTACTTTGGTACTAGTTTAAAATTGCATTTAAATATTACTCAGATAAAGATTAACTTGAGCATGTGTATAATATCAAAAGAGGATTGCTGTGAGTTTGAGACCAGCCTAGGCTACACAGGGAGACCCACTCCCAAAAAAAGTGAAAACCATATTTGGTGGGGAATGGGTAGGGACTCCAAGGAAAGCCTCATTCAGAGATCAGAAAATGAATTGAGAGCCAGATAGAGGAGGCAGGAACAGATCAGAGGCAAAGGCCTGTGTGAAGACTGGGGGAGCTGTGAGGAGCACTTCCGAGGCAAGGCTGGGGAGCTGTGAGGAGCATTTCCAGGGAGAGGCTAGGGAACTGTGGGGAGCACTTCCGGGGAGAGGCTGGGGAGCTGTGAGGAGCACTTCCGGGGAGAGGCTGGGGAACTGTGAGGAGCATGTCCAGGGAGAGGCTGGGGAGCTGTGAGGAGCACTTCC